AGGGCAGCTACTAATGCCAGAAACAAGCATTTACTGTCTCCAAATGTTCACACTGGATATTTGATGTGTACACTGGTCTTTATAATCATATTAACACTATTAATCTCAGTAATATCATCAACACGGGAGTCCAGATGTGCCACATTATTCTCTCTCAGCCAGGGTTTTAACACGAGCAGCTGCTTTTGAAGAAGTACTGTATCACACAGCCAAATGTTACCAGTGAGCTGTCCCAGTAAACCCTCACCTCATTCTCTCTTACCTTTGTGCTAGCTTTCTTGTATTTTCAAATGTTGTGGAGTGGGAGGTTCAACAACAGGGTAACTTTATTCCTTGAATGTAGCAGTGGACTGGTTCCTGTTCTGGTGTTGGCGTGTTACATGCTTTGTGTTTCCATTGGTTAATTCTGTTGATATGAAGTGATTAGCTTCCAACGGCCTGCTGTTGATGTGTCAGAATATTTACAGGGTGCGTTGTTCTCAGTTTTCACTTAGGCATAAATCATTTACACAGCTGCAATCACTCACTGATGTCCAAACATACTTTAAAGACGTTCTGTTCTCTTTAGAAAGATCTGTGACTGTGTTGTGCTGTCAATTCATGCAGTAGTATCATAGAGTGTATGATGGACAAAGCCACTGTGATGTCACCCACATTTGTCAAAGCCACATTTTTGGACCCTTCAGCTGTCCACTGTGACCCTCTTAGGGTTTTTAAACCAGGTGTCACAGAAGCGGGGTCGATCGGTCATTGCCCCCGTTATCGTCTTTCTGAACATCATGTATTAGATATGATGTAAATGTAGTGATTGATACCACTGATTAATTAATGAAGTGTTTACCGAGGTCACAGCTCAAATGTCAGACGGCTCCTTTTCCACTGAAATCTGTTGAGTTTTTTTTCCTGCTAACTACAAGTACAGAAGTCGCCCCCTGCTGGCTATTAGAAAGAATGCAGGTTAAGGCATTGGCTTCATTTTACCAGTATGGAAGCTATGTCCATCTTATACATGCAGTCTATGGATAATACAGAATTTGAGCTAAAAATATTTTAATAAAATCATGGTTATTAAATATTAAGGATTTCTCCAGTGTATGTGAAGCAAATGTTTGGTAAGAGACGTTCACTAAGGCTGTACTCACACTAAGAAAGCTGTGCCATGCCCGAGTATGTTTGTTTCCCATTTTCCAGTTTGTTTGACCAGACTGCTGCATGCTCCACCCCGGCAGGGTTACATGAACTGCTCCAGTCCAGGTTCAGTTGGACTCAACATGTGCATGTTATGTGACCACTAATCGTGCACAAGTACTTACATGTAACTCCGGCAGTTGTTCAATGACAGCTGCCTGTGTGAAAATCACTGTGTTCAGCACTTCACAAATCTATAAGGCATGTGAGAGGATGAAGTGTCAGCACTTTAAAATGAAACTGGATGCATAACATCATGAACGTCACTGTAGACACACACTGATGCACACTCTGAGCCCACACTGTTAAGGGTGAGTGCAGGCGATCAGTGGAGTGGTGACGAGGCGACAGCCATGATGTGTGCGAGTACATCCTCACTGTTAGAAATTGGAACCCAGATTTACTCAAACACTGAGCCAATCCAAACTGGGTTTAGGCATTAAAGAAAGTACTGTTGGTATTTAGAAAGAGAGCGCAGTGACAACATGGCATGTAGGAGATTTTGAACTGAGATTTTTGACCCTGCTGCATATATTTCTATGAGTTCCTTTTTCTAGGTGCAAAATATACAGAGAACTCTTAAAGCTCACAAATTGATTTACTAATGTTTGCAACACAATTTATTGCTAATCCTGATAATATTTAATCCAGAATAAAACATGAAAATGTTTCCAATTGTTATTTTTGTGCTTGATATTAAAATGAGCTGACTGTGTGTGTGTGTTTGGATACAGCATACATTTTGTAAATCATTGGTAAAGTTAACCACACCTTTGAGCTCACATGCCGTTTTGCCCCATGTAGTAAATCTGGCCAACTTAGCAAACTTCATCTGCTGATGTCTGTGAAACTGAACTGAAATGCAGCTGAAAGCTTCGTGAAACGGACACACTATTTGTTTTTCCTGTCAAACTGTTTCAGGGGTCAAAGGTGAATATCTTTCATGCTCAGTAGACTGTGACATTGTATAGTTATGATTACCTTCTCACTCTGTTTTTCATGTGTCGTGTATACAGGAATAATGTTTATACATGTATTTCATTTTGCAAGTTGTTTAAATTGTATTTTATTTTATTAAATTTGTGTAGTTGATCAGGTTTTGTTGTTGAGCTTTAAGTAAAAAAAAAAATCTGGACACACTTGAAGCTTTGCTGTGTTTAATAGTTGTTTTTCCATATTTCAGTAAATGTTGTTACAACAAAAATATAAAAACAAAACATAAAACAAGTCCAGATTCCTCAAACAAACAACAATTTTACATTTTATTTTGACATCAACACAGGAAAACTGTAACTACTCATGTCCATTATGACTCATTCTCCCATTCATCATGGAGTTCACCACCACCATTATTTTATGGACAAGCAAAGCTAGAATAAAGTCTTTTCATATTTATTGTGGCATTTGCTGTTATAATCATGTCTAAATTTATGAAGTCACAAGATGCCACTAAACAAATGAACCCTTTCAATCTAAAAACTACAATCTTGATTGATAAACATGTGATTGGTTCTACTCCTTGCAGCAGTGCGGTGATAAAATAGATTTTGATAACTTGCTGCTGCTATTATTCAGCAATACATTATGAGAAAAATAAGCCCAGTCATTCCTTCATATTTTGCTACTAATATCCATTATATTGAGTCTATGACTGATACAAACAGTTATTTCTTTCTAATAGTAAATATGCTCATTAAAGATACCCTTTAGACCATTTCGGTATACTTTTTCTTACAGGTGATGATGTACCTGGGCAGGGCTTGATAACTGCTAAATATGACAGAGATGTCAGACCCTCCACTCACACTGTCATACCTAACTTTCGGATCTGTTCCTTTAGCAGGTGGCAGAATGAGACCTCGCTGACCCTTGGTGGACTCCCCTGTCAGCACATCAGCCTCCACAAAGTACAGATACTGATCATTTTTCCACATCCAAATGTCCATGGCCTTCTTCACTGTCCTAGCAAAGTAGATACCTTGTCCATATTCTGGGTCTAGATCCAGAGAGAGACAATTAAGTGCTGTTTTCACATGCCTTTATGATATCTCGGTAAGCTTGGTATTATGTATCCTAGAGAATTATCATTAATACAGTTAGAAGAAACATTGTCATACCTTCAGGTGGTGCACACTCTGCATGGAAACCAATTTGGCTAACCATCTGACAGAACTGTGCAGGTATCTGCTGAAACATTTTCTGAGACGAGGAGCACCCCAACTGTTTTTTCTTGAAGTCAAACAGCACCTTCAATATTTGGTTCTCCACTTTGTCCACCTAAAAAAGGAAATGTTTCAGAGGTTACTTAAACAAACTGAAACAAACAAAATAAATTAGTATACTGTATTTCTCAGATTATAAGGCACATTAAGTGAAACAAAGCAGTCAGATAAGTCAAACTTTATCCAACTCATTCCCAATAACTCTCAACACTGTTCAGTTGTTGTTAATGTTGAATTCTCTGGCAGCTTCCCATGTTCTACTGCGTGTGTTACGACCCCCTCTGCTAGGCGTCAGGGAAGGAGTAACATACACGAGCCCCCCAACACAAAACTGAGTAAAGCAAAAGGTTTTAATTACAAACTTTAAACAGAAAACCGACAGGGCTGTTCAACAGACCACTGGGCAGACAATTATTACATAAAGAAAGAACAGTCACGAGTAAAAGTTAAAGGGTAACTAAGGCAAGCTGGCAGCACACAAAATAAAAGCTAGGGTTTTAACTAAGGCAAGCCAGCAAAACAGCGTGACTGACAGCCTTGAGTTTGAAATCCGCTTCGTAAGCATGTCTCTTAAAAAGTGACATTTATGGGTCCTCTTACACACACAATACAGTAATATTATGTTGAAGAACAGTACATTTTACTCCGCAAGGCTCCTGACTATGGTAGCCGTAATACTCCGAAAATCCATTAAGCGGTGCGGGTTCTTGGCTTACCAAAGTTGTACTAAAACATTTTTGACAGATTTCTGAGCGCCGTGTACCACATAAAATCGGTTCAAGGTCAGTAAGCACAACCAGAATTCATACATAAGGCGCACCGTCAATTTTTGAGAGTGCGCCTTATAGTGCGGAAAATACGGTAAACCACATCAGCTTGTGGAAATAGAACATCTATTGGACTGGAATAGTTCTTTTTCTACTCTTCTGAGCACTCGAAGTTATACAACTTGTGCATTCACCTATTCACATTCCCCAATGGAGAGCAATTTGGGGTTAGTATCTTGCCCAAGGATATTTGGCATGCCTGAGAAGCCAGGAATCGAACCACCAACCTTCTAATCAGTAGATGCCCTGCTCTACCGCCTGAGCCACAGCCACCCCTATTTTGAAACTGTTTCTGGGAAGCCAGTATAGGGATCTGTTCTGCCATTTTCAGTTCCATATTTTCACTCTTGGAATCTACTAGAGTAACTTTAGTTCAAAATAATCCTTATTTATCTTATCCTGGATCTTGGTGCAGCCCTTCAGTTTATCTAATATCTGAAATAACCCTTCCCCCTGTTATTTAAAGTTTAAAGCTTTCTTCTGATTGGCTGCCCCCACAAAAATTGAATGTATGCCTGATATCCACTCACTGACATCATACAGCCAAAAGCAAGAAAAAAATGAGTGGTTAGCATAGCCTGAATCCTGAGGAATACTATGAGATACACTGACCTCATAGTGTGAAACTATAACTGCATTTACTGAGCATCAATCATTATAGTATACATATGAATAAAAATATAAAAGTTCCATTTACAAGTCATGTTTGTAATTAAATTTACTAAATGACAAAGCAGGCTAATTTACACTGTACCTTTAATATTATCAGCCCCTCATGTTTGAAGGCAGAGAATCTGTCTGTGAACTCTGGACTTGAGTCATCAACTGTTCTTGTCTTTCTTTCTTTTTCAAGAGATGCTTCATTAGCTAACAGGCACATTTCTGTCTCCTCCTCTTTGACAAACTCCATCTGGACAGTGCAGAGCATGGCCTCCACCTGTAATGCAGCAACTACAACATCCTCAACTAAATCCCCATTTAGTGTTAGGCAGGCGTGACCATTCGTCAGAAACTCTTCGAACTTAACACCGTTTCTGGTTAGACGAGAGAGCTGCAGGTATTGCTTCTCACTGAGGTGCTGGATGAAGTTGTTGCAAATATCAATGGTGCCAGAAGATGTAAAGAGGTCAGTGAGCCATTTTTTAGCCTCATGTATTGATTCTTCAGATGGGCCACACAGGCTGATCTGTGGAGAAGATGCTCTTTTGAAATGAGCGTCTTGTTTGTTGTCATATTCTGATGGAGAAGACAAAAAGAGGAAAACACTTCAAGATCACTATTACTACACATCCAACTATCCATACATAGGGATAGGTTACCAACTGCCCCAGGGCTAACACAGTGCTAAACAACATGTGCGCATATACATACAGTATCAGATTATTCACTCTCTATTTAGGGCCTGCAGTGCTTCACCTTGTGTAAAGTTGGATTGAGAGGCATTGTGCTGGAGATAATTAATTTTGTCCTTAAAAACCTGGAAAGAGATCATAAAAAGATATTTCTTTGTATGAGACGATTCACAAAACATGAATTCAGCTTGTGCCTAACAAACCCCTGCAAGTAGAGTTTCAGACTACTGTAAATGCACCACCGCATTACACCTTGCAGATATATCAATATTTCAAACATGCTTATTTGAAAACATTACAGATAATGATATGTTAAAATCTTGACAGATTTAAAAAAAAAATACAACCTGAAATGTGTCATTGTCAGCAGGAAATATGACAAAGTAAACTTCCATCTTCTCTGGAAAGTTTTGGGCGAAGTTGGCCAATGCGTCGCACATGAGCTGTGCTGCTTCTTCTTTAGTGAACCCGAGGGCTCCTGTGCCAATTGCAGGAAAGGCAATTGACTTGTGCTTTCTTGAAGCTGCCATCCATAAGCAGCCCAATACCGAGTCGGAAAGGACCTATAATTAATTAGTAAGTGGACAGAAAAGAGATAGCTGGAAAATCTTTTAATAATAACATGTTTGGTGTATTACATTGTGTTTCTTCTCTTCTTCTGTTAATTTTTACCCTGAAGAATTTTCTGTATTTGGGGATAAACATGACCTATGATAATAATTTTAATAGAAGTGTTGGATCAAGAAAACCAGTAAAAAAAAATATTTAAAAATATTAGTGTTGGTCATTTATTTTTTAAAGGCAATGACCCAGTGTTACTTAAATGTGAAAGGCAAAAATATTTTAACCTTGAGGATTAGCATTGACTGTGAAGGACAAATTTGAGTCAAATCTTAGTGAATCCAGTATCCAGAGGGCTACAAGGAAAAAGCCACTGCTCCACTAAAAGGACACTGCAGCCTGCACCTTAACAAAAATCATGTGAATGAGCACTAAGTCTGTTGGAAGAATGTTTCCAGTTTATATAGCCTAGAGTTTGTTTTGGGAAAAAATGTATTTCAACATAAGAACCTTAACCTATTTATTTCACATTATGGTGGTAGTGTGGTGGTCTGGACTTGCTAAATTTATTTACAAATCAAATTGTCAAGGAAGGTATCAGAAAGTAACTTGTGGAGAAAATCACTGTCCCTCAGCACACAAAAGGTCTCCAATATAGAATGATCAAAGTAGAATAAAGATAATGTCTTGATTTGGAAAACCCTAAAGTGACAATTTCATTTGAGAAAACCAACCAACATGTTAGAATCAAATGTATTCTGTATGAAGGCAAAAATGGGTAAACATTTCCCCCATAACACTTCTACTTATATATACCTGGCTTGATCCTCTTTTCCCCTTTTCCTTGCAAAAAGTGTGAAACACCTCTTTACAAGCCAGCTTGTAGGGGTTTGTGATGAAGATATGATTTATTGGAAAGGCCTTTTTGATTTCGTCTTGAATTCCAAATCCGGCTTTCTTCAGCAAAGCAGAAGAGATTTTACCCACACTTAAATCTCGTTCTGGTGATGTTGTATTTACAATCACATCAGTCTAAAAGGAGACAAAATAATCAAATTTTAAAGAATTTATTTAAACAAGAATACATAATATGTTATTACTACATGATGTCTCACTGGAGCTCCATACACATCAAAATCAAAAATTAAATTAAGAACACAATAAACAGCTAAAAGTAAAAGTTCATAATATATTAAGGAAGTAACAAAACAGATTATTACCCTCTGATCCTCAATGTTATCCTTCTTCAATGTCAGATTGACATTTCCAATCAGGATGGTAACACTCGACGCTTTGGCAGCACTTCTGCTGTTGCTTCCTGTTGCCTGGCTGTTTGACATGTGCTGGTTATATTGGTTGTATTGCTTCGGAGCTAGGAACTGACAGCAGGCTCTCTCCATTTCTCTGACTGTTGGCTCATCGTTGTTCACAAAAATGATCTCCTCAAGAGAGCTTCCTCGAGAAAGGTATTCGCAGTATCTTTTAACAGTTAATACAATGGTGTTTGCACATTTTGGCAAGGGGTAGTTAAACAACCCAGAGCTTATAGCAGGAATGGCAACAGTGTGCAGATGATGTTCCTGAAGACTGTGAAGAATGTTCATGATAGCTCTCTCCAACAGAGGTTCAGCACGTGAAACTTCAAAACCACCAGGGTTATATGGCAGTTGTGGACCTACAGCATGAATAATCTTCTTGCATGGCAGCGACCCAGCATTAGTGACAATTGCTTCTCCTGTTGGTAAGGAACCATATTTTTTAGTGTAATTGTCACTCTCCATTTGGATTTGAGGACCACCAGCTTCACATAGGGCTTGAGCAAGGCCAGCACCATGCTGAAGAAAAGAGTTTGCAGCATTGACAACAGCATCCACTTTGAAATTGGTGAGATCAGCCTTCCACACAGACACTGTAACACCTGAAGGCAGCTTGACAGAAAACCTCTTCTTTGGTGCAACGGTCTGTTTTTTCTGCTGTCCAAAACTTATATCACTGTCAAAATCCACACCTTCGAAGGTGGCCACACATTGATATTTGATATCAATGATATCACTCAGAGCAGGTCCACATTGTTTCACAATGTTGAGGTTAAATCCATGAAGAGGAATATGTGATTTAAGAGCCATGGTTCCTGAAGAGATCTACAGAAAAAAATAACTAAATGATCAATGGAGTCATTAATAATGACTAACTAGTACATTTTAATTAGCTAAACATTTCTCATCTATGGACCTCTGAAAGGTTATGTAAATATTCTAGTAAATATCAAGAAATTCATGATTATTATTATTATACTCATCATTAACTCTAATTTGGTAATTTTTCATGTTATATTAGGTTTAAAAAATGTTTTTATTTGAAAAAACAGTGATATTTACAAGTGAGACCCACTGTTTAGTGGCAGTGTTTATTTAAAGAATATCATCTAATATCAAGACATAAGAGTTTTTAGTTCCTAAATATCAGTACTGGCATCACCATCAGTCCCAAAATTATCAGTCAGTCTCATATCAAACCAAAAGGAACATTAACGGGACTGTCATCAAATCAAACAGTAACTGCAGAGAAATTATCAATTAAATCAGAACATTATAGAATTAAAGTTGAGTATGGTTGAAACATAAACATGTTAATCATGATACCAGTGTCATTTCATGAAATTAAAACATGCAGGTGTGGGGTCTTAAATATCCTATTTCAACACAGGTAAACAATAAATCTACATGGTTGCAGGTGACCTACCTAGTAAAATACGGTAAATTGCTGTTATATCGTCACTGCAGCAGAGGGAGACAGAGACACACAACAGACACTATTAGGCCAATCAGAAATAATTTACCTGCTCCAGAAACAAAAACGTGAAGAGAATTTTCAGTGTGCTTGAATACCGTTTGACTCTCCGTACAAACGAACTTTACTATTACATTTGTAAAATTGCATAGAGAAAGCAAAACTGAGTCAGTAAGGCATCAGGTTTTTGTTTATTTATTTATTTTTTGCAGTTCACTCACTACTTGTGCAGTGCATCGCATCCGGTCTACAACCCCCACAGAGTATAAACATCCTACTACATAGCTACATAGCTTCCTACTCTAACCTTATTCAGAACGTACTATTACCAAGTAGGCCAGTATAATTGAAGACACTGTCAAACATTTGACGTTTTTGCGTCATTTTTATACAGTGAAAAACATCACGAGCAACATAACACCAACCAGTCCACAAAAGTTGCTGTGTGCTGGTGACTGGCGAAACCTAATCCATGAACGACACACACATTTGTGTAGCTTTGATAAAACGTAGTTTTAGTTTAAACGAATTAAGAGGTTTATTGCGCAGAAGCCAGATACTCACCGTCGCACACTTTCAGCTGGAAAGTACCGAAGTGAAGGAGAAAGCGAAAGAATGAAAAGAGGGCGCGGACGTCTCCAAACTGCCTCCGTGGACTGCAGCCAAGTGTAAAAAGGTGTTTTTCAGGCCTTTCTCTGTAGCTGCACCCCGGTCTGAGCCAACCCTTTAAGGCCAAACGCCACAACACGCCAATAAAAACTGCGTTTCGTTTCACAGGAAACAAAAGTGAAACTAGTTCAGAGCAGCCGGCCTGCGAAGATGGCCGGCGTACACTCCTATCCTCTGCTCGTTGAGCTCGAAGAAACCAAAATACCCAGATTAAAAATCAAGTTAGTGAAATACTTTCAAAGTAAGAAATCTAACGGTGGTGGCGAGTGTGAGGTGGAGTATGAAAATGGCAGCAGGACGGCGATGGTGCGCTTCCGGAGAGAGGAGGGTAAGTTTGTCACAATAAAGTCATGTTTGCTTTATTTAAGCAGCTACAATATTACTTATTATCAACGGAGTTATGTGGTGACATGTGTTTGTGCTGTTTCACAGATCAGAGAAACGTTCTGGCCAAAGAGTCGCATCAGATCAGTTTGGAAAAAGGCGTTTTGAAGCTGACGGTCCGCTTACCCACGGAAGAGAAATCATCACGGGTGCGAAAAGTTTGTCATGAATCATTTATCAACAACTGTTCTGTTCTGTGTACCTCAAATCTGTTCTTATATTGACGATGCTATTTATGAGATAAGGTTTCACCGTGAAACCTGCGCACCTCTAATTTCTGTCAGACCCTCCTGTTCTCAAAAGAAACTGCGAGAATATTCAATTATTCCTCAGCTTTGTGTGACCCTTGAGCCCCTCTACAGACTCCAAATTATCATTCAGTTCCATTGAAATCTGACCATGTTTATCTTTTACTGGAAGTCATGTGACTTTATAAAGCTAAAGCTGTGCTGCACACTGCTCCTTTCTTCCTGCCGTGCGGATATTGTAAAAGTCAAACTCACTGCTCGGAAAGCATTACTCGGTGCGGTTTTCCTGACAAAGCTGACAATGAATTTGTTTGCATGAATTATTTTTTGGACCAGCAAATATTTATGGCGCTTACACACACACACACACACACACACACACACACACACACA